TCTATTCCCCTTCTTTCGAATGCCAGAAATAGGCCACCACACTCATACAACTATTGCGCATATAATTGTAGAGAAAAATCGATGTATATAAATCATTCAATAATTCAAAACGCGTTTTAATGTCAACAAAGTAAAACTAGGAATTAAAATATTATATCATAAGGTTCATCGTTCACCTAGCACATATAGATCTAGCCTAGCATGGAGGAAAGAAGGAAATCAGAAAAATAGATAAAGAACGACATCACCCCGAATAATCTTGAATTGAATTTTTGCATCGTGATGTTATTCTTCTTGTTTGTGCCTCTTTTTCTCTCTGAAAACCTTCAAAAATCTCCTCCCAAGTCTGCCTAAGGTTTGAGGACGGTTTAAGAGTTTATATAGTTGTCAAAATATTGGTTTCCATAAAAGTTGGAACGAATAAGAAAGCCAAAATTTTTCACTGACAGATTGAACCATGCGACTGCATGGTATAAACTCATACGACAGCATGATTATACAAATTTTTCACTGTTCATCTCATGTAGATGCTTGTGCGACTGCATATACTTTCTACCATGCGACTACATGATAGAAATTATTTTCCCTTTGATTCACTTTGGTCCCCAAGTTTGTTTCATCCACCTTTTGGCATTGCTTCCTTCTCCTTCTTCTTCTAACATCCCATGATATCACAATGTGTTACTTCGCTCAATTCCATACTTGATTCGCCATTCTTCTAACATCTCATGATGTCACAATGTATTACTTGACTCAATTTCATGCTTAATTCGCCATTCGGGTCATCTTTTGAATAATTACATTTTGGCCCTCGAAATTTCATATTCTTCCATTTTGATATTTTTTCGTTCATTTTTTCATACTCTTCATTCCATCCATTAATATAATCCTATAAACACTTATATCAAATTAAACCATATTTCAACATATATATCAACAATTTTTCATATTTTGTGACCAAAATAAGTGTACAAAACACACTTATCAATTCACATGAGCAATTCTATAACAACTCACATAAAAGCACAGCAGGGGCATTTCAACAATACCCAAATTTTAAATCAAATTATGATAATCTTAAAATCAACAAATTGCAACACAGTCTTAAGATATTATCAATAAGTAGAAATTGATGATAAAACTAACAAAAATCTAATTAAAATAATCAGAAGTTTAGCGCACCAGAGCAAATGCAAAAATCTCAAAAATCCACTCTCCTCTCTTTTTCTCCCCCCAAGTCTCACTATCTTATAATCCGCACTCCCTCCGCAGCATCCTCATACACAAAATATACATCAAAGTAGAAAGAAAAATTTCATTTCTTGACCGACGCCACACCCAGAGAATCTGTAAGGATTGATACATCTCAAAAATCAGGAGAGATTCTAACTCCCACACCCGCAAAAATTTGTTCTAAAAAGGGAAAATCGAATACATGATCGAAGTAGCTAAATAAAAATGGTTGAAAAAATAAAAAGTTTCTGAATTGAACCTGCTGAAATTCATTCATTCTGGATCGAGCCTTATCAAGATCTACCTCAAGGATAGATATCATTGCTATCAAATGCCGAGTGCTAAGTTGCGACCCTAGTGTTTTGAATTGAAATGGAGGCCGAAGCTTGGAGGAGATGGCGAGACGCAGAGGCGGTACAGGGAGCCTGGAGGAAAATGAAAGGAGACCTAGGGCCCGTTTGGTGGAGATTAAAATTCAATTAAAATTGAAAATATAGTTGTTATTGGGTCTCACTCGTCTAATAAAAGTCAACAATAACGACTAATTTTTCAATTTTAATCCGATTTTAATCTCTACTGAACGGACCTCTAATGTTTTTTTTATGTTTTTTGGACTGGGCTTCAGTCTTCTCTTGGACTGAAAGTTAGCATATTACTATAAATAAATAAATAAATAATATGGGACATGGGGTTGGACTCAGAAGTTCAGTGTGGGCCTGTGCCCACACTAGACCTCATTGGGCTCCGCCCCGAACCCGTCACATGAAGAATAATTGTTTCGAGTGTTTGTTTTGGATATTGATATAGTCAGTTTGAACATTATTTGCTTTTGATTTTAAAATTTTGAATTTGTATTTTAACTGAAAAATTTTGAAAAAAAAAAATGGGGCAGGCTCGCGCCCCACCCTAGACAAGGCAGTGCGTGGGTGGGGAGGGGAGTGGCGAGGTAAGGGTGCCTCACCCCGAACCCGCTCCGCTGCCATCTCTAATATGGCCTAACGTCCGACCTCAATCCTTGGATAATTGAGGAATGACAAGAGTTCAAGATTAGCTCCACCCCGTTCCGCTGCCATCTCTAATATGTCCTGATGCCTGACCTCAATCCTTGGATAATTGAGGAAGGACAACCTCGGGCTTTTAAGTTCGAGATCCGGTGTTACAATATTTGTGCACATCATATCGAGTTTTGATTTATTTTGAATAATATAAATGACTGTGCAGGCATTTTCAACTTTTAATAAAGACATTGGATTATAGTCTACTAAAAATTGACGAAACTGAAAAGAAAAATAATAGACACGTATAAACAAGTCACAGAGTCAAAATCAAAAGTAAAAAACAGAAAGTGAAAGTCTCCAGAAAAGAGTGCTAATAATTTGCACCTCCAATTATAATAAAAGCTCCATTAAATAATAATTTTGATATGTTCTAACTTGAGATCCATGTAGTAAATTAATAATAATTTAAATTTATAAGATAATATATATAAACGAATACATAGGTCTCACCTGATATATAAATTACTTATCTCTTTATGCATCAAAATTATAGGGTAATTAGCACAAAATATCCTCACATTTCATTGTTATTGTGACAAACGTCAACACCTTTCATTTTTTGACATTTTCACCCCCAATTTCACATTTCATTGTGCAAAATGTCCTTTTAATTTATGTTCTCAATTAAAAATTGTGAAATGACGAATATACCCTTCTTTTCAAATAAAACAAAAAGAAAAAATTAATTGCAACTATAGTCCCAATTTTTTTTAAAAGCGCAAATGAGTCACAAATAAATTATTTAAAGGGTAATTAGTACATAATGTCCCTACCTTTCACACTATTGCGAAAAACGTCCATACTTTTCACCCTTAAT